TCATATTTTATGGAACAACTGTGTCCCAACACATACGTGAATTAAAGGGATTTTTGGATGTCAAATGATCATATCAAAAGAGTTTTTCTCATTTATACAGGTCGCAAAAACATTGGTTTCGAGGTTGCGCCCCCTGGACATACCATTGCTTACAAATATATTACTAATTTACTAATTTATTATAAAATAAAATTTATGATTTATGGTTTATACTTAAGATAGAAAAAGATGATGCTAACTTAATATTTAAAAATCATTGATGTACCTAGAGCGGTTTTAATTGTATGACGCTAGTCATAAACCCCTTGTATACCTGACAGTGTAGGGAATTTTGAATAGATTTGTCATGGTTTGGGAATCGCAATCATTACAATAAAGATTGTTATCATGGTTATTGTATATCTGCAAATGAAGCTTGGGAACTCATCATGTCTGTCTATCCATCTGTCTAACTGTATGCTTTTTTTGCTCAAAGATGATCTTTTAAACTACCCAAATATTTTTTCTAGCCCTCTAGAATTTAATTATATTATTTGAACTTGTAAACCTAGTATTTTCATACTTATTTGTCAAAGTTTAAATAACATTGTGACCTATTAAATTTTTATTGTAAATAACTTCTTTGACCAGAATAGGAATGAATTAAATAGTCTGTTAAAAAGACTGTAACCAAGATATTTCCTACTTAATAATATAGTAAATTGTGACCAGAAACGGGCTTTGACCCTGTTCAAAGTTCGTTTTGGGCAAGATCACAGGGTATTAAACTGTTGAAGTTATTAAATCCCATTGTGTGACATGGAGACCGGTCCTTTGGATTAGAACATGTAACCTTAGGTCCTGTGTCGAATAAGTGCTGGCACAAAAAATTCCTCCCTGCTCAATGGCCCTGATTGCTGAGTATAGGACAAATTTTGCAGCTCTCCACTGGCAAGTCGTGGCGTCTCCATATGAGTGAAAATTACTCAGAAACAACATGACGTGAAACAACATACAATCAATCAATCTTATTATCTATAATTACTACTGTAAAAGTGGTTATTTACACTGGGTGTTAAGTATGCGTTTTTGACTGTAGAACATTATGACCTCCATCTTTACTAACATTGAGTTCTTCCCCATTGAAAAGGTCAACACAAATAAAGATTGATTGATTGTATACAGTTTAACGTCCCTCTCCAGAATATTTCACTGATATGGAGACGTCACCATTTCCGTTGAAGGGCTGCAAATTTAAGCCTATGCTCGGCACTTACGGCCTTTCAGCAGGGAGAGATCTTTATCGGGCCACACCTGCTAGATTTATACGGTCTCATCCGAAAGACCGCACCATTTAGTCGCCTTTTACGACAAGCAAAGATGTACTAAGGACCTATTCTAACCCGGATCCCCACAGGGCATATGAAGAAGAAAAAAGAAAACTACAAATAATTCTAAACAAAACACAAAAGAATTTATACTTGTCATCAACAGTTGCATGTTTCTTGGATTGCTAATTATGAATATATATAACGGTGATCTAAACTTGTTAGTCAAAGGCCTTGAAAGTGTGAACAATTGGTGTTTGTTGTATTTAAATTATTTAATAAAGTTGTAACTTCAAAGATCTGTGTCTCCGTGACGAGTGTTGACAATTAATTCAATAGGTATGTTTGTAGTGGTTTATTTAACATTTTGGAATAATTATTTGAAATTAAGAGTTACGTACAAGTACATACGAAGGAAATGAAAATAAGCAGGTTTTGAATTTTTTGTTGCATGACATTGCTTTAAAATATTTAATATGAAGATGAATTCTTCACTGCGCATTCGTCACTGCAGATTTAAAAAAGGTTACATTTTCATCACTGTTTCAGATACTGCATTTATCTACTCACGTGCATTCATTACCCTGATTAATATATGATTGCTTCGACCGGCCTAATAATATATGTAAAAATAATTGTTTATCATAATTCAAGAAGTTTAAAATATTGTACCAAAGTAGATGCAGGGGTATTGTAAGGTGTAATTGTACATGTACATTTCTTGCAAGCATTAATAACTATATGATGAACTCAAGTCTAATAAGTAAGTCAACAAAAACCCTATTGAGTTCCTAGCCAAGTATGATGAACCCAAGTCTAAAAAATAAGTCAACAAAAAATTACGATGTCGGACTCTATTCTTTCACTGGTACAACTGGTATTAAAATGGAATCTTTCATACATTCTTAATCTTCAAAATATCTTATTTCTAATATGAAAATCATTATAATATTAAAAAAATAACTTCTATTATCATTATTAATCTGAGAAGGTGGTAGAAATCATCATTTAACAAATATAACAAATTCATTTTTCTAGTAAACATTCCTCCTCAGCCAGATTGGTTGTTCAAGAGACCTTCCCTGATCTTGAACTTCATTGTGGAAGTAGACTAACCCTCTGATTAGGTATTTAGCATTTGCGTACTCCATTATCTACGAAAGCCCAGAAGGCTCATTCGAGATTCGAGATTCGAAATACGAGATTCGAAATTCGACGAAATTCGAGTTTCGAGATTCAAGATCCAAAATAACCAATAATCAAAAGGCGGTTTGAGATTCGATTACTCCCCTTTATTATTTTTTACTATCAAGAAATCGTTGAATATTTTAATACCGAGGAGGTCAATTGATTAAATTACAACGCAAGAAAAAGTGTTATATATTATCAATACGAAATTTTAAGAAATATTAGATTTTCGTCTACAAGATATGCTTAATCAATTTTTAATAGCTTCTTAAATGTCATAAGAGATTAATATAAAGAATTATATAAGTTATCTACTTTGGATACAGGGTTGTTGACATAATAGTAAACTTAAAATAGATTAACAGCACGTAATTTTTTTACTGTTGAAAATGTTCATCGAAAGGTCGGTTGCCAACCCCCCCCCCCACACACACACGTTTTGGTACAGTGGTGCAGAATAGTCAAAGAAGTTTAAGTAGTAGTGTATTAAAAAAAATTAGGTACTAAATGAAGTTCGCCCCCCCCCCCTCGCCCCCTTTACGCCCCGAAATAGGATTTTCGGGTTTAGACAAATTTCTGTCAGTTTTTATTTTCAGGTTTGCAAAAATATTTTTGTCTGCCCCCCTCCCCCACCCCACTTTCAAAATCGATGCTTCGTCTCTGTAATAATTAGTACTACGGGTTTCAAGGTGGATAGTGTTTGTGACACGGTATTAGAAAGTGGCCAGTGACCAAGTTTATGAAACCAATAGACAGCCCCTTAAATAAGGATGGCTGAAACATGCATGCTTAATAAAGATAATGACCCATTGGGAATAATAAATTTAAAAAAAATCATTGTTTATCCCCCTATCCCTACCCTAACCTCGAAAAATAGGGGTTATCATGGTAATTGGAAGTTATTTTTGAATGGACATAAGCATGAAGTTACTGTTTTCTATAGTATATTATATCGGAAAAATATTACGGGAATGGCCAAGTGGGAAGGGGGGGGGGGGCAAATATGTGGTTATCAACATGCGATGCATAGATACAATGAATATATATTCGATAAATATTTAAAAGGAAACCGCTCGGGTCTCGCCCGACTTAGTCAAAGACTCAAATATACTAGTAAAACCATAATGTTCATTTCATTGGGTTGGGGGGGGGGGGGGGCAGCCATTCATTGTCAGTTTTCAACTACCAAAAATTTCTTGACAACCAAAAACAAAGCAAAAAAATATTAAGTCATCAGATGTTTTATTGAGGGGGCACAAGCATATAGTAGTTATGATATCTATAGTATTTTATATATCGGCAAAATTATAAAATTATTGTGGGGGGGGGGGCACAATGTAAAGAAATGTACCCTCATTAGTATTTCATATACATAATAATTTTCTCCTTCATCAATGTTCTTATTTAAAAAAAATCAACGATAAGACCATATAATATTCTATATACCTATGTATTGTTTTGTTTAATGATGAAAAATAAGAATTTATATATATTTTCTAAAATGTAACCTAAAATTCCTTTTTATTTCGTTTTAATACATATATCTTTTTTTCTTGCATTATCATTTAAGCAAATAACCCATTTGATATGAATATATTCAACTATTTCTTGATAGTAAAACATAATAAAGGGGAGTAATCAAAGTTGAACCTGCCTTTTGATTGGTTAATTTGGATCTTGAATCTCGAAACTCGAATTTCGAATCTCGAATTTCGAATCTCGTATTTCGAATCTCGAATCTCGAATGAGCCTTCTGGGCTTTCGTAATTATCAGAGTAGATGAACCCTCTGATCAGGTATTTATCACTTGACTCCATTGTCAGAATAGATGAACTCTCTGATCAGGTATTTAACACTTGACTCCATTATTGGAGTAGATGAACCCTCTGATCAGTTGTTTAACACTTGACTCCATTATCAGAGTAGATGAACCCTCTGATCAGGTATTTAACACTTGACTCCATTGTCAGAATAGATGAACTCTCTGATCAGGTATTTAACACTGGTCTTCAATATGGGAGTAGATGAGTCCTCTGATCAGGTAATTACCATACATAATATACATCTCGTCAAACAGGGCAAATCCTCAAAATCAAGTATCTGTGTGATTGTGTCTTGGGAATACATGTACTTGTGTCCTGTAAATATGTTGTTGAAACATAACAGCTTGAACTAAATCCCTTCAATATTGAAAAAAGTGTAGATGATCTAAAAATATCAACAATACATATCTGTGGACAGGTCATCAACAACCTTCTGTAAATTCTGAATGGGATCAGATACCTTAGAGGAGTAAGCATTCCTTGTTGTTAGCCTTAGATATTATTGGTCAAGTAGAACATTCCTGTTGTCAAAGTAAGTAGTAAAACAAGGACCTAAGAGTTGGTATGAAATAAGTAAGCCAAAATATAACCCAATTATAGGTTTAATGTGATAACAAGTTCATTATAATGACAATAGAATTCAAATTGCTGACTGTAAATGAGGTTGTAATTTATTTTACAGAATATTGTTCCACTAAGCAGCATGAGTGTACCAGCTCAGGAGCATGCCATTCTGGATGACATGTTGAACTGTATGCAGATAAAAAAGTTTATTATCTATAATTATAACAGTTAGCATGGGGAGATCCATAGTTTTAGCATTAGATTCTGTGTAAAATCTTAAGAGGGGTCCATGTTCCCTCAGGGATATAGTCATCTAGAATAAGACACAAAGCGCGTTTTAGACATAGCTTCTGAGATAAAAAAAATATATTGTTCTTTGTATAAGTGAGTATTAGGTATATTATAAGAAAAAGGAGTTCATTAAAAAACAAAAAAAAAAAAAAAAAAATATGAGAACTGGTGAACATGGAAGAGAATGTATTGATTTTTGGACTGAGGGAGATTGTATTTCACAGGGAATTGAGGGTAAATACATCCTAGCCCGAGCACTGACAGAGAGGTACGCTCCAAAGGAATTCATGTTGGACCAAAATCTGGGTAGGTACTGCTGTCTAAATCTTGGGAGGTAGAGATGTCAAAATCTTGGGAGGTAGAGATGTTAACTTCTGGTTGGGTAGAGATGTTGTATTTGATGAACTAGATGTTAATATAACTGTTAAAGAAGTTGTAGATGTTATTAACAGTTTAAAAAGCAGAAAATCGCCAGGAAAAGATAATTTGATAAATGAATATTTTAAATATATGTGTGAAGACTTAAGTCCACTTTTAACGAGAATATTCAATGTTATATTTGATACAGGTAATATCCCCCTCACATGGTGTGAAGGTGAAAAAGTACCTATTCTTAAAAAAAGCTGATCCAGATGTAACAGATAACTATAGGGGCATTACCCTCATGAGTTGTATGTTAAAAATATTTACGACTATACTTAATAATAGACTGATGAAATGGTCCGAAAGCAACTTTATTTTAACGGATACACAGTTTGGATTCAGACCTGGGGTTGGTACCATAGATGCAATTTTTGCACTGCAAAGTATAATTGATAAACATCTTTCAAACGGGAAAAAACTCTACTGTTGTTTTGTGGACTTCCGTAAGGCATTTGATAGTGTAAATAGAAATTATCTTTTTAAAAAGCTAATAACATTAGGAATCAAGGGGGAAATGTTTAACAGTATATGGTCTCTGTATAAGAATGTTAGGAGTTGTGTGAAATACAAAAACAATTTTAGTGACTTTTTCAAAGTAGAACAAGGAGTCCTTCAGGGAGAAGCACTGTCTCCACTACTTTTTTCTTTATATTTAAATGATTTTGAGAATGCTTTTATCACGTCCAATTGTCAAGATATTAGTCTCCAAGAAGTGTCATTGTTTTAATGTTATATGCAGATGACATGGTATTGTTTTCCAATTCTCCTGAGGGATTACAAAAAATGCTTGATGTGCTTTTCTCATATTGTAATGATTGGAAATTATCTGTAAATGTAAGTAAAACTAAAATAGTAGTTTTTAGAAAATCTGGTCGATTGAATCCAAATATTAAATGGTTTTATAATGATGAGGAAGTTGAAGCTGTTAATCAGTTTACTTATCTTGGTCTTACTCTGACATACACAGGTAATTTTCATAAAGCTCAGCTAAAATTGGCTACTCAGGGGAGGAAATGTATGTTTAAACTTTTGAAGTCTATGAAAAATGTGCATTTTAATTATGTTACACGTTTGTCTTTGTTTGATACTTATGTAAGTAGTATTTTGAATTATGCAAGTGAAATATGGGGATTCCATAAAGGTGAAGCTACAGAGAAAATACACATAGAACATCTCAAAATTATGTTGAAAGTGAGAAAAAATACTTCGTCATTGATGATTTATAATGAACTTGGTCGCTTACCTCTTTTTATTCAAAGAAAAGTCCGCATTATAAAGTTTTGGCTAAAACTATTGGAGTCAGAAAACTGTATATTGAAAAGTATTTACCAAGATATGCTTGAAAGAACTGAGACAAGTTCGTGTACAAAATATAATTGGTTACTTAATGTAAAATATTTATTACTTTCAGTAGGATTTGGAGATGTTTGGTATTGTCAAAATATTACAAACAAAAATATATTTTAAAAAATTTTCAAACAAAGATTAACTGACTGTTTTCAACAAGAGTGTGATGCTTTTTTTTCTTCGTCTTCAAAGTGTTTTGTGTATAGATATTTAACAAATAAACTGTGCATGCAATCCTATTTAATGAAACCAATTCCATCCAAGTATATTCAATTGATTACAAAATATAGATTAAGCGCACATTTATTAATGATTGAGAAGGGGGGAAGATTTACTCATATTCCTAGGGAGAATAGATTTTGTTTTTGTTGTCAGATGGAGGTTGAAGATGAGTATCATTTTATTTTAAAATGTCCACTTTATCATGAGTACAGGAAATTGTATATTAAAAAGTATTATTGGTATAGACATAGCATGTATAAACTATTACAATTATTATCAACTGAAAATGCGAGTGAACTTTGTAATATAGGGAAATTCCTCCAAAAAGCAGAATCACTTAGAGATTTACACCTGTAACTGATTATTTTTTCTATTTTTGGTTGGAAATATTGTATATAACAAGCAGTATTAACTTAAAGGAAGCATATGTGAATATTTCATTTATGTATATTAATTCTGTGCTTTACAGCAAGTATTTTGTAATTATGTTATCTGATAAGTCGTATGACTTAAGGAATACATAAACAAACAAACAAACAAACAAACAGAGATGTCAAATTCTTTAATTGGATCAATTAAAACCTGAAATGTTTTGTTTCCAATTGATCCGTCTCTACAAGACCTTGTCAGAAGAATTCTTCCACTGTGTTGTAATTACTCTACTGTGGTGAGGTTTTTTGAAGGTATGTTCAATGATTATTATATATTTTAAAATTTGGTTAATATTGAATGTCTTATTTATAAAATATGGGAAATCTTTAATTACACTGTCAAGCATTACCTAAAAAAATATGGCAACTCTTCCAATTCACAGAAGAAGCTGCCAATTTCATTTACATATGCAACATGTACCCGTATATAATTTGTAAAGGAAATTTATTATTATAATTTTTTTTTTTGCTATTGAAGAGAGACATTCCTTCATGTTTAGAAAAAAAACTTAGGTGTTAGTTTATACAAGATCCTGTCTTAGTACACTCTAAAATTATATTTAACTTGGTTTGGTTTTAATATTATCAGAGAAATCAGCATTTGAGTATGGACTTGTCAACCAGGCCTTGAGTGCAGCCATGAGGACTCTGATCAAAGTATGACTTTATACTCTAACTAATGTGCCGGAATTTTAAACTTTTATTTTTTGTAGTTTTATGACTTTGTGACATTTATACTTGTTCATTTATTAAAAATTGACAATAAGTTAGAAATTTTATGAATTTTATCTTATATTGTAAAGTTTATTAGTTATCTTTATCATTTCCAGGATTACATGGTTCTTGTAGCACAGTTGGAACACCAATACAGATTGGTTAGTGAAATCATTATACATTAAACGCATGATCATAAGGGAAATATGAAGATTCATTCAGCGTAGAGAAATCATATTCCCCGGCAGCAAATAAATTTTAATTTTTTCAGAATATTCATGCAACAAATTTTTTTATGAAACGGAAACAAACTGGGCTATTTGAATGTCTGCTATTTGATAGTTTTTAGCTCACCTGAGCTGAAGGCTCAAGTGAGCTTTTCTGATCAAAATTTGTCCGTTCTCTGTCGTTGTCGTTGTTGGCGTTGTTGTCGTTGTTGTCGTCGTCGTAAACTTTTCACATTTTCATCTTCTTCTCAAGAACCACTGGGCCAATTTCAACCAAACTTGGTACAAGGTATCCTTGGGTGAAGGGGATTCAAGTTTGTTCAAATGAAGTGCCACGCCCTTTTCCAAGGGGAGATAATCATGAATTTATTAAAAATTAATGGCAATTTTAAAAAATCTTCTTCTCCAGAACCGCTGGGCCAGGAAAGATCAAACTCATGTGGAATCATCCTCAGGTAGTGTAGATTCAAATTTGTTCAAATCTTGACCCCCGGGGCAAGGGTGGGGCCAAAATGGCCGACCCAAGTTTTACATAGGAATATATAGGAAAAATCTTTAAAAATCTTCTTCTCCAGAACCACTGGGCCAGGAAAGATGAAACTCATGTGGAATCATCCTCAGGTAGTGATGGAAAAATACTTGTTTTAGAGGATTAAAGTTTGGGAGATAAAAAAAACATCATACTGTGGCTATTTGTTGTTGAAATATGAAGATTCATTCAGCCTAGAGAAATCATATTCCCCGGCAGCAAATGAATTTTAATTTTTTCAGAATATTCATGCAACAAATTTTTTATGAAACGGAAACAAACTGGGCTATTTGAATGTCTGCTATTTGATAGTTTTTAGCTCACCTGAGCCGAAGAAAATCTTTAAAAATCTTCTTGTCAAGAACCACTGGACCAGGAAAGATGAAACTCATGTGGAATCATCCTCAGGTAGCGTAGATTCAAGTTTGTTCAAATCATGACCCCGGGGCAAGGGTGGGGCCAAAATGGCCGACCCAAGTTTTACATGGGAATATATAGGAAAAATCTTTAAAAATCTTCTTCTCCAGAACCACTGGGCCAGGAAAGATGAAACTCATGTGGAATCATCCTCAGGTAGTGTAGATTCAGGTTTGTTCAAATCATGACCCCTGGGGCAAGGGTGGGGCCAAAATGGCCGACCCTAGTTTTACATAGGAATATATAAGAAAAATCTTTAAAAATCTTCTTCTCCAGAACCACTGAGCCAGGAAAGATGAAACTCATGTGGAATCATCCCCAGGTAGTGTAGATTCAAGTTTGTTCAAATCATGACCCCTGGGGCAGGGGTGGGGCCAAAATGGCCGACCCTAGTTTTACATAGGAATATATAGGAAATATCTTTAAAAATCCTTCTCCAGAACCACTGAGCCAGGAAAGATGAAGCTCATGTGGAATCATCCTCAGGTAGTGTAGATTCAAGTTTGTTCAAATCATGACCCCCGGGGCAAGGGTGGGGCCATAATGGCCGGTCCAAGTTTTACATAGGAATATATAGAGAAACCTTTTA